AATATTTAAAATGTATCACTCTTAAACTGAATATATAGAAAGTATGTTCACAATTTCAACTTTCAATTATACATAGGCAATTAGTATAATCTCACAAGAATATGCTGCGAATAAACTTTAGCAATATTCTCAGATGTGCCAGAATGTATTACTATATAAACACATTTGGGTTGAATATATAGAATACAATCAACATCTTTAAACTTCAATATAATTTTAATTAATTATACATGAGCAATAATTATAATCTCACAACAATGGGCTGCAAATAAATTTAACAATATTGTTAGATGTTTCAAAATGTATTATCATATAAATTCCTTTGGGCTAAATATATAAGACACATTCTAACACCTATAAACAAGTCAACTAGCAAGAATGATTTATCAAGAAATTATCTCCTTTGGGTAGATAAATTCTTTCAAAAATAATAAAATTTCCCTTACTAGCGGCTCACATTACCTCTAAAATTAATACGCTCAATTAACCCCCTTTGGGTAGGTAATTGAGTGATATAATATTAGAAGAGCTTCCCAGAATCCTTATTGGTAAATCACTTTAAATCTCAATAAGTAACCACTTCGGCAGTATCACTCATATTGATTCAAAAATCTTCCAACTGGGACTACAAAAATAAATATTTGTCCACCTTTAAAACTTTATTTATTTATTAACAATAATGCAATCTGTAACCCATCAAAGCATATATAATATCATATTACGAATCACTACTAAACAGTTACTCAAAAATAATATCTCACGACCAACCAAAATTCGCATATGAATTTACAAAAATTACACAAAGTGATATACATGATATAGAACTCTTAAACAATCTAATGTTTATGTAAAAGTTATAAAAACGAATATGTTTCATATGTTTTGCAAGTATTTGATTAGGTAAGATTTGAAATATATATATATATAAATACAGATTCAATATACACACGTCCATACTTCACAATTTTCGTAAAACTACCATATCTAAATTACTTCTTTTTTTTTATATTTTATTTTATAAAAGACAATTGGAAGCAAACTATCTATACTCAAAGAGTATGTACTCGTTACATTGAAAAAGTTTGCTTGAAATTACTAAAGCACAATTTTGAGATGCAAAAGCATCATTCAGTAAAAGAAATATTAATTTATTTCTTATCATTATATAAAATAATTTTACTGAAATAATCTGCCGTGATTTTGATTCTAGTATAAACTTGTTCTGATACTACATGTAAGATTATAGGATCTATATACTAGAAATCAAAACACTATGAATATAAGTAACTACTAAAATATAAACTTAGATCCATACCGCTTGATTCCGTTATTGTCTTGAGTTTTGCTTCCTTGAAAGAATATGACATTCACAATTGGAAAACCTTAGCACCAGCTCTTCCCTTCCTTCTCTTAATCTTTTTGTTGTCTTTTTAATACGGTGGACAACCCTTTAATCTACATATATATAAATATATGTAAACCCTAATAAGGATAGAAAAGGGGACTGGGCCTAAATAAAATAATAACTGAGCCCTCCCATTAAGGAACCAAAATAACTTAAAACAGACCTTACACTTCCATATCACATATCCACATATAAAATAATATATACACTAAGATGACCATGGCACAAACTTTATGGATCACAATAATAATTTTAGGCTCATACCAGTCAATCTATCTGAATTATGTTCAACCCGTTTTTCACAAACCAAACAAAATATAGTCAATGACAGCCTAATTAAGAATAAATTCTTACAATTATTTTTAGGGACCAAATATTTTTATTGCGAAAAGTGTCATCATTATATTTTTAATAACAAAAATTGGACATTAGTAATGAATTATTATCCTTTTGGGACTAAATTTTTTATCTGAAAAAATAAATCATTTTTAAACTAAATTGTTTTGTCTCTAAAAGTCTATTTATTGGTAATATTTTTAAAATTTTGTTACTAAAAACCTTATTTTTGATTTTTTGGGACGATTTTTTAGCGACTATTCTCATAACGATATAAATTAGTTCTTAAATATTTTTGGCAATAAAATTGTTACTTTTAAAAATAAAAAAAATTTTATTTTTACAACTCTTATATGTTGTAGTTATGTCAACAAAAGGCATAATCCATTGATCTAATTTTATTATTAAAACAAAACAATATTAAAATAATACCTTTCATTTTAAATTACAAATTCCAAAACTACGTGGTTTTGCTTTAACCCAACAAAAAGTCACCCAACCCAGTCGGAACACAGGCTTGAAACAAGCTAAAGTTATGGCCAGACGACGGGCCTTCGGCCCAAATAAGACCCACTAAAATTATGGCGCGCAAAACACAAACCCTTCGTTGAAGATTCAGAACAATAACAATAAAGCTCCAATTCGAAGCTTTCGAGCTCGAAAAGCTTAAGCAATAAATTGATTCACAGTGAAGCGATTTCTTAAACTAGGGTTTCAGAGTCTCTAAATTTGCACAAATATGAAATGTTTTCTCCTCAAATGTGTCGTTTCGGAGTCAGTTTGGGGGCGAATTTTTGTATAATTTCGTTGAAATGATTGAGAAGTGGGATGGTGAGCGATCGGAGAAGACGATTGATCAGAGATATTGGGGCAGTGTTGAACAAACAATTCATTCTAGGTTAGTCACCTATTCATCCTTTTTTAATTTTTAATTCTTTAAATTTTTTAAATTTAATTAGTTAATTAATTATTTTAAATTTTAGTTCAATTAGTTGTTGTTTGAGTACTTTTGAACTGAAACTTGAGATGTTTAGCTCGTGTTTAATTCCAGATTTCCAATGTGATAAACAAACTTGAAGTTAGAGGGAAATGACTGACCTGACCTTTTGTTCAGATTAAAGAGAGTCAGTGTGCTGTGAAGTCTGTTAAACTAGTGGTGCTTGTAAACACGATGCGATTGCAATTGTAGATCTAAATTTTTGAGAGAGTTATGCGTGGGTCCTATCAAGTGGACTTATTGTTCAATAAGTTCTATGATAATTAAGGTATTTTTCATCATACATTGTTAAAACAAGTTTAATTTTCAGTGACAGTTTAAAAATTGTCACAAAAAATATCACTAATTATAGGTTTTAGTGATAGAAAGTTAGTAATTTTCAACTTTTAGCTATAGTTTGAAAAATTCGTTACAGAAAAAGTCACTAGTTGTAAGTTTTATATACAATTTATAAAATCGTGTTAAAAAAAATACTAATTGTCAATTTTTAACGACACATGTAAAAAATGATCACAAAAAATTATTTTTAATGACGATTATATTAAGACTTATTTTCAATAGGACTTGATAGGAATCAAGTACTGCTATTAGGACCTATTGGTAGTTTACCTTAAATTTTTTTGGTGGTTTTCAGCGGTTTAATTAATGAAGAAAATGGGTTGAATTTTAAAACAGTTTAATGCATTTGCGGGATGTGGGATTTGCAGTTAACAATCTTAGGGGCCTTCTTGACGGGGAAAAAAGAAAAAGCGACAAAGCTTCTTCCTTTGAGCTGTGTGCACACTCGATGGGTGTGCTAAGAAAATAAATCAAACTTGAGCATTCTTGTCATACATAAAAGCAAATTCTTCAAGACACAAACTTGAGCCTTTGCTTTATATACTAATAATAGTTATAGATATAATAGAAATAGATTTGTAATTTGCTATTGATTTCTCATTATTTCAACACCAACTACACAGAAGAACCTGATTAGCTTTGCTGTTGCAGATGCACATGACAGATGTAATAATGTGTACTGATCTGCAACCTTCTGGCACGATCACATTACCATAGATTATTTTGGAATTACAATATTTTTATTTTTATTTTTTGGGGTTTTCCAGACCTTGGTAAAATTTATCCTCTTTGAGGTTCTTCAGACAGGCTTGGTTTGGTCAACCCTGACACAGGTGACTGTCTCCCTGGTGGAATGCTTCCTTCTTGTGGTAAGAAATCTTCAGGTATAAGATCTCTGTTTATCACACTTGAAAAATTCATTTTTCGCTTTGATGCTTGAAAATAGGGATGAACTTTTGTTGACTGCTGCTTATTGACTATAGATGTCATTATATATGTGTGTATTTAAACTAAATAATAGCTTTCTTTTGCCATTTCAAGGCTAGAGAGTTTTTATATTTCAAGTTGTATGGAAAACAATGCACCACCGCTGTTGGTATTATGACATGTTCGGCTAAGAACAACCATGAACACACTTCATCGGTTGTGAAAGGCTCAGATGGGTTTGGAACGACCTAGCAAGTCTGAAAGGTTCCCAGCTGCATCTCATGTAAATTAAAAACAGTGTCAAAGCTCAAGTAATAGAAGATATGTATTTCAATATTCTTTTCAGATGTCCTTCTTCAAGATGTAAATAGTGAATTTGGTTCAGCTGTGAAGTCTGTAATTTACTATTTTTGGATAGTTGTTCAATCATTCATTAAAACGTTTTGCTAAAGAAGTCTTCTATGCTTGCTGGAAAACTATCAAACAGTGCCTCTGCTTCTCTCTTGATTTTATAAAAGCCATTGGGTTATGCAGTCCTAAATAAATTTGTATTGACTTTTATATTTGTTTTTTTGGGTGATATCATGCATAGAATGGATTGGATGGGAGAAGGTGGAAGAAAGAGACCAAAAATTTGTTTTGAGTGATTCTAATTTATTTATTTTTTATTTTTTTATTTTTTCTCCTCTCTCTTTCTCTCTCTCTCTCATAGATTAACTTCCAAAGTAGCAAGCAGAATCTTGTAGGTAGATTTTGCTGTTGTTTACTCTAGTGCTCTCATGTTTGCTCTTTATTATGGAAAAGCTGCTATATGATTTTTGATGTAACTGCTGGTATCTTTACATGTTATTCTTCTTAATCCTGTAATTCTTTCATTTTCCTCTCATTCCTTACGGGATGTATTCCCCATGATCTGCTATCCAATGGTCTTAACAGGACCTTGAGGCACAAAATTTGCTGCTTTGTATCCAGAAAATGAGAGACAGAAACAATTGGTTTTTATCTAAATCAATGTTTTCTTATTATCAAAACAAGAACAGTTTATAGAACAAGAAAATCTATTGAGACATGGAGATCCAACTTACATAACAAATGAACAACATTTCCATTTATGTAATTTTCACTAATTTACACTTCTCTTATTTCGCAGTCTTCTTACACCCTGTGTTATCAAACTGGATTGCGAGATTGAGTGCAGCATCTGTTGAGTAATCTAAGAAGAGCACCAGCCTTTCTTCGAGATTTTAGTGACCCATCAGCAACCAAGCTTTGGAGGGAAGGGATGCTCCGTGGATTCATCAATAATCGTCTTGCAATCTCCTCTCCACCATCTTTGCACTGCCCCAACAGAAGGGTTATTGAATTCTCTTTCCCCTTCGGAGAACCAAATCTTAAGAGATCAATGAGAAGGGGCACCAAGACCCTACTCTTTTTTATTTCCTCCAAACCTTCATGGCAACCCAAAAGCAAAGCAAGCACTGCCAAGGCATCATCGGTGATGCCTGCCTTGTCATCCATCAACAGGTCAATGAGCAATGGAACCGCCCCGGCAACAACAGCACTTGCCTTGTTTACATCGTAAACTGTGAGGTTAAAAAGTGCTGTTGCAGCATCTCTTTTCCCAGCTGTAGTGCCTTCCCCGAGGAGCCCTACCAAGGCTGGAATGGCTTTGGGACGTGAACCAATGATCACTTTGTAATCATCTATCATAGACAAGCTGAAGATAGCTGCTGCTGCATTTTCTCTCGCCTCCATGGTTTTCCCTGATTGTAGAACATCAATTATGCTGTCAATCGCACCAGCTGCCATTATTAATATCTTGTTGTTGTCGAAAATGGACAGGTTGAGGAGGGAAGTGACTGCATTTTCTTGAATTCTTGGGTCAGGGGATCCAAGTAATGTCACGAGGAATGGAATAGCTCCTGCCTCAGCAATTATCCTGCGATTGTCCATGCCTGTTTTTGCAAGTAACCGAAGCTCATAAGCTGCCTGCCTTTGGATATCAAGTGACCCAGTTGCGAGTTTCCCCACCAGAAATTCAGCTGTCATTTTGACAGCATCTCTGTCAGTTTTTGTGGCGGAAATGTGATCGATTGCATTCTCACCAGATTTTCCCTCGCTGTTGCTTCTCTCCAAGCTTGATGAAGATGAAGATGTTTCCTCGGTTATTGGTATATTGTTTTCTTGGCACCATTGATGGACTAAGCTCTTTAGTGCGTAGTTGGGTATGAGGGCCATGTGAATTAGCCGCAACCCGCTTTTTGGGCACGTGTGGTGCCCTGAATTAATCCACTGGGAAATTGAATTTCGATCAAAAGTGTGCCCCGATGCTACTATCACAGGGTCCCTCATTAAGTCAAGTGAAATTGGGCATCGATATTCGTCAGGGATGTTGAAAACTGTTGATTGGGAAGACGAATGATCTTGATGCCTAAATGATGCTGAGCGATGCCTCAAGTCTTCGTGGCTTTTTTCATTTTCTTCCTCACTGAAAATCATAGATTTGGATAACGAAACAAGGGATATGAGATTGTTGATATTGGAAACCACGATGAGCCCACCTGTGCCTGCCTGCTTCTCAGCTTCTGCCCCTAACTTTGATATTTCTTGGTCATAATCGAATGAGCTTCTCAAACCAATGCTGCTTAAGATCTCTTTCAATTTTTCAAAGTCAATAAAGCCCTTGTTCTTGCTGTTCTCATTATTAGTAGCCATAACTTGGAGGAGCTCCTCTCTTCTCTGAATCTCACGAGGGTCAACAAACAATTCGACCCTTTTTGCTTGCTTGTGAAGAAGCTCGACTTGCTCTCTAGTATCAGCCGTTAGATTAAGCAAGCTCAGAGGTAATATATCAAGTGCTCTCCCCATCTCCTTCACTATACAATAAAATTGATTGGAAATAATCTCTGTCTGCACAAGGTTCCACAAAGCGCTTCCTTCTTTACACCCTTGTATGAGAAACTTCCCTTGACGTATAACAGAAAAAAGCTCATTGAGACACAGAATTGATGATGGAGGAAGCGGTCTTTTTGATTCTTGAATTTCTTCATATAGCGGAGAAAGAAGCTTGATCCTTCTTATCATTGTCGATACATTTTTAACCTGCACGAATGGAAGAGTTTCGACAGACGTGACTTCTCTAGAGATGTGGATCAATGACTCTAGCAAAGACCCAGTTGGAAGAAAGCCTGAGGACATCATGAGAAGAGGTAAACCTGCATTCATGGCTTCTCACTGTGATAAATACATTTCTGTTCATTGTTGTTTTTGTGATTCAAAGGGCCTGTTAGGGTTTAGATTACTTGAAGAAAACTTCTATATTTTGCTAAAAGAAATAAAATAATGTCATGGACTATTGACTGCTTCTGTTTGTACTTTTATCAGTGGCTGACAATAAGATGGCTGGTGAGAGGTTGAGGAGGGGCTCTTGGGTTGCTGCCACTTGGAAGACAAAGCAGCCTTGCTGGGTTAGTATATTCTCTGCCAATTTTATATTTAGTTCAAATATATCTATATGTTCAATGGATTCATATATTAGTAAGTTGACCAATGAGCCGTGTCAAATCTTGCGTTCGGTGGCAGCTGCTTTCTTGCAAATATACTTGTCCATATATTATATGTTTAATTAGGTATTCTCTTAGATCATACACTCACACCGTAATATGAACTTTCTTTGAGCACTGGAATAGGATACGTGTAATATACACTACCGTAGGATGAGAACAAATTGAGTGACATCATTGTCTTTTTTGTCTTGATCCATTTGATCTGAAACAATAATGTTATATGCTCAGAAAAATACTCATAAAAGTATCTGGTGGCTCTGTTTGGTTCTGGTTTATCTAACTGACAATTGATAAAAAATTAATTTTTTATTTTTTTTTATCTTTAGTATTTTGTAAAATTAAATTATTTTTATTTTTCAGGCCTTTTTAGTTTAGAAGGATTAAAAAATTTAAAAAGTTTATTAAGGACAAAAAAATTACAAACCCCACCTAAACATTTCCAATAACAAAAAGGCACTTTTTTAGTATGTGTCAACCTCATCAAGTTTTTAAATTACAATTTTATCCTAAAAAAGTAAAAAATAAAAAAGCTACTAAAATGGAACTTGCCGCATCAGCCTAAAAAATAAAATGTGCGTACAAGATTTATTATGACCCACATAAGATCAAATTTAAATTTACATTATACATTTCATTTTTTGAATACTTTTTTAAAGTGCCTAGCCTTCTTTTGAGCTTGAGAATGAGGAGAGATATGAAAGAATTTAGCTTTACCAAAATGAATGGGTTAAATCAAGCTAGTCCAAATTCATCTGTATATGATCATGTTGATTTTCTTGCTCTTTTGTCTTCTACCTCTATCATGGTTTCTCCACTTCTTGCACCCTAGGTTTTGCAACAAGCGGTTTGACTCAGTTAGTTTTGAAACTTGTGATGCTGTGAAACACTAACATATAAATTAGAACTAATGCTCCTGATCTTGTAATGATTTTTAAATTTATATTCTTAGATCATTGAAACCTACAGCAGAATATTTGGATTAAACTGAATGTGAACATTAAAATGGAATAGACTGATTTTATTAAAATAATCTCTTTCCCCCTCAGTGTCTAGATCAGAGTTTATAAAATCTCAAATTCAACTTCGTTATATTTCTTGCACGGTTAAAATTTAATTGTCATTTGAAATGTTTATGATTGGTGTACAAAGCATCATGCTTGATGCTGCTTAGCATATCATTAACTTTTTGTTCTCTTTAGATTTTGATATCCATTGACTTGGCTAATACCACATTTGGAAGTTTCTAGCTGGATTATCTGCGCCTAATCGGCTGATTATTTGTTAAAATATATATGCCAGCGAAGCAAATCCTTGTCAATAGCTAGTTGGGTTGTTGCTAATATAATGAGAATACAAATATAAAACAGATGGTAAGACAAAAATGGTAGCTCTGAGACAGATTAATAAGTTAAGCATGGTTCATAACAAGTATTAATAAACAATGTACTGAACATTGTATTAATAAACAATGTACTGATCACATGTTGAAAATAACTCTCTCTCTCTAGGTTGTTTGTTTGTTTGTTTTTATCGTATTGTAAGATGAATGCACACGAATGGGTAGCTTCTAGTGGTGTGCTTGGTCAGCCAGGTTGCATAAAACCTGAACTATCTGATTGAGAATCACTAGCCTTTTTATGCCTAGTGGTGTGGTGTCATGTTGGTTTCTCAACGTTTTAGGATTTAAATTCTATTTTGGAATTTTGATTTTGAATTTGAATTTGTCAAGGGAAACAAAAATGAAAGAGAAATGGAATTACTTATATATTTTACAGAAACATTATAGGCTCCTAAAACATGACCTCAAATTCACCCTTAGATTGTGTTTGAAGTATGAATTTGGGTAGAAATTTAGAAAGAGAAAGGGAGAGATAGGTAACATGTGAAGAAAACATGACTACATTTTATTTATATTTTACCACATTTTCTCTCTTTTTTCAAATTCCTATTCAAATCCATGAATCTAAAATAACCTATATTCCATCTACATTTTTCCTTACTTTTTTTAAATCTTTACTTAAATCCATACTCCAGATACAAACTAAATGTTATGACTGACAATGGGTTTGGTTAACTCCAATGGTAAATGCTAAAATGATTTTACCAAAGTTATTTTTTGATTTGCTGCAACACAAAAGTTATTTTTTAGTTCACATACCAATTTTTTGCCATTAGATGCACTTCAAAGGAATCTTTTTTATCATAGTTTAGTTGCATTGATGTGGCAAAAATAACTTTGCCAAATTTCAAGTCAAATTTGGTATAAGAATTTATTTTTTTGGTATTAAAATTTGGTACAAGATTTACCTTTGTCATTTTTTGACAAGTCATTTGATTTGTCATTGGAAAAAGGTTTTTTTGGGATGCCTAGCAAAAAAATAACTTTTGCAAGTCTTACGATTTTGTCATTGGAGTTGTTCTTAGATAGTTAATTTTTATAACCAATCAATAATCTATATTGTTATGGATAATTTAAAAGTCATATTTTAGTAGTTTCAAGTTTTTTTTTTTATTTAAATATATTTTATGGGTAAACAAATATATATATATATATATATATATATATATTTTTTACCACTTCTCATTCATTTTCTTCCATTTTTCCAACTTAATGAAGCAGAAGAATTTTTTCTTCTTTTAGTTCATTTTATTTTTCTAAAGGCCTTATTTAAATTTTTTTTGCCCCTAAAGTTGCATTGGGAACGATGAGGGGAATTAGATCTGGCGTAGGTGGGCCAAGTAGGCCTGGACACATTCCTTGCTTCTTCTAGATCGTCCTCCAGATATTGGCCGTGTTTGGTATAGTTTTTTTTCAGCTTATTTCAGCTTTCAGCTTAATTTAAGTCATTTTGATATGTTTGGTTTAGCTTAACAATGCAGCTTATAGCTTTTTGTAAGTCAGAAATCAGCTTATTCATTGAGTGGGGCAGAAGAAGCTTAATTTATAAGTCAAAAATCAGCTTATGTTCATAGTTATAAGCTATAAGCTGTTAAGGCATAAGCTATAAGTACTTTCTCACAGCTCTACCAAACGGGGCCACTTTGCTGGCTATTATAATTAGATTTGGTGTCATTGCTATGGGCAATGCACAATTGTGATTGTTGTACAGGTTGTGAGATTTATTTCAAGTTTTATTTTGATAATTTGAACTATTCAATTTTTAAGAAATATCGAGAATAATATATTTATAAAATATTAAATTAATCGGATATCGATAACCATTTTGTCAAATCATATTTGTATTTAGTTTGATGCACAAATATTTATTTATTTTATATATTGATGTAATTCGACGAAGAAGTTATTGATATCCAATCAATTTGATTTTTTATAGATATATTCTACTTGATATTTTTTTTAAAAATAAATAGTTCGAATTATTAAAATAGAACACGAAGTGAGTCTCAAGAGCTGCACAATAGTCAATGCCATGCATTGTGCACAATAGTGACATTGGGTCTATTATAACTAGTATCAATCTATTTTAGTTACTCTAAAGAACTAGCTAGTTATTACAGTAGTTATTTTGACCAAAAAAAAAAAAAATCAAGTTTAGTTACATTTGGAGAGTTTTGAAAGGCTTTTAACATTGTTTGTGTAGATAGATAAGAAACATAAAGAGTAGCGTTGATATACATAGATAAAAAAAAAAAGAAGGGTAAACTACCTAAAAAAAAAATATTATGTTTTAGTTTGTAAAATATAGAGTCATAAATGTTGCTCTGAAGGTTTTGTGTTTTTGGAAAACGGCAAACAAAACATTTTTTTTTTAATTAAAAGAAGAAAAAAAAAAGGGAGTATGTTTGTTCTCTTTCCATTTCGTGCACATTATTGAAGTGACAATTATATTTGAACCTGATTTATGTGCTTCATAAATGAAAATGCCCAAATATTTGAACGCCATTTGTTAGAAATAGTTATGTCACCTGCTGGAACTATCATACTACTATGTTTGGTTGGAGAGAAACAAAACAGGAAAGTGCCATGGTAGGGGTAAAGAAGGGAAAAGAAAGAGAAATTTTGCGGATGTTCTTCACTGAGAAGGGTATTGTTACTCAACTGTTTAGTTAAATACCACAGAAAATTGTAAGGAAGTTTTTTGCAAAATGACATGATTAAAATTGAGGTCTTGTTTGAGAAGGGTTAAAGTGGCCAAATTAATACAAAAAGATAAAGTAAGCTAATTTAATTAATAAGACAAAATATCACATTTAAATCATAATCATTTTATTTTCTTTTTTTTTTTCTCACAACCATCATATCTAAACTAAAAAAAAATTCAAAAATTATTTCCAACTGGAGCTAATTTAGCCAAGTTAAATTAGTTAAAAAGTCAAATTAAATTAGATCTTTCCAAACGAAGGCTGAGTAATATATCAACTTGAAATAGAAGTCAATCAAGATGGTTGACTTTTATTTAACAATGCATCAACTCAAATAATATGAAATTTTTTTACAAAAGGATTTTAGACATTTTAAACTTCGAACATGATATTAGAGATGTATTATTTATATGATTTTAACATGGTTGCTTGAAAACATAGACTATATTGTTGTACTTATGTATAGTATAATCTCAGTTTTTATTTTTTGGTGGGAGGAGGGAGAAGGGATTTAAATATGATAGTAGGGTTTGTAAATTAGTGGTGAGAGGGTAATTTTGCAGTGAGTTAGGTTGGAGTGGCGGTTAAAGATGTTTAACCGAATTAGTAAATGTCCATATTTCTAAACTTAGCTACCTTCTAGTGATGGTCAAAGATATTTGACCGAATTAGTAAATTCTCATATTTCTGAACCTAACTACTTTCT